GCCATTTGTTTTATTATGTAATTGATAAAAATAGGGATGTATTTTAATGTTAGTTCAACTATGTTTTTTATACTCTCTGGGACTGTGTGGTTAGAGTTCTGTAGGAGGAATAATTTGTCTCTGTTTGCCAGCTTGTAAAAACCTAGTGCAAGAGCATAAACATCTAAACAAGCGATGAAATGCATATACTATCTAGAAAGAGAGATTAGAGAGACGCAGAGAGAGACAGAAAAAAGAGTCAGAGTCAGAGACAGAAAAACAGAGTGACAGAGACACAGAGAGAGAAGATAACATAATAAATTCCCATCCATTCTTCACCCAGTTTCAGTCATTATCAACTCTGGCCACCACCAGATCTCATGTAAAAGGGTGTAGAAATACAAGCATCCATGTCCGGGTGCAAATAAATCTATTGTACTTGACCATCAGCTTAAACCTGCTGCTTATTTTGAAAACTGACTTTGCATAACACTTCTCACTTTACTGATTCAACTAATATAGAATGCATAACTTGGTAGAAGTGTGGCTCAAGTGGTAGAGCACCAGCCTTGAGAGCAAAATCCAAGTGAGTGTGAGGTCCTGAGTTCAAGGCCCAGTACTGGTATAAAAAGAAAAGAGGAAGGAAGAAGGGAGGGAAGCAGGGACAGAAGGACGGGAGGGAGGGAGGGGGGGATGGAGGAAGGGAAGAAGGAAGGAAGGAAGGAAGGAAGGAAGGAAGGAAGGAAGGAAGGAAGGAAGGAAGGAAGGAAGGAAGGAAGGAAGGAAAGGAGACACAGAGGCAGGGAGGGAGGGAATAAGAGAACTCATGTCTTCACACCAAAGGTTTATGGGCCCGTATAGATAGATAGTAGGTTCTAGATGCTATTTGCAAATGCTAAAATGACGAGGAAACAAACATTTGAGTTTCTGCTAATTTGATGGAATTGGCAGTTTATAATGCATGCACATATACAAAGCTCAAATGGCTACCCCATTTAGGTTTAATAAAGAGAAGACACAGGAGAAAAAGGAGAAATAAGCAAAAAGAAAAGCAACAGGAAGGAGGCAGCATTGTCCTGGCCAGCCTAACAAAGCCACTTAAGACCTTACCCCATGAATTAGACCCTTATGTGTTTCCCTTACTCCTTACAACAAAAATGAAATCCACTACCCCATGTTAAAGAGACTTAATAGAATAAAGAGGACTAATTAAAATAAAATGAAGCCAGCCCTACTACTTAGGATAGCTTTAAAATTCTAGCCTCTACTTTCTCTAGAATAAGCACCCCCAAATACTATTAAAGATAGATTGGTTGAGGCCAATCACCAGTGATTCATGTCTATAATTCTAGCTACTCAGGAGGCTGAGATCTGAGGATTGCTGTTGGAAGCCATTCTGGGCAGGAAAGTCTTTAAGACTCTTATTTCCAATTAACCAGCACACACACACACACACACACACACACACACACACACACACACACACACACACACACACATCCAAATATCAAATGTACCTGTACTTTGTTTCTTTACTCTTGTTTGTGGCTGTTAAATTTCACCTTGAATAAAGGCTTCAATGAAAACATCGAACTTATAAATCATTTTTAAGGACTACTTCATTAAAAAAAAATCTCACTAGGTAACTGAATCTTTTAAGATAGGAACTAAGGGCAATGAGAGGAAAAAACTGGGACCTTAACAGAATTCACTGAAACTAAGGGTTCATTTAGAACTTTCAACAGCTGGACCCTTTCGTTTGCATAACCTTGTTTCATCATTTTAATTTTTTCAAGTGGACGAAATGTTTGTGAAATCCAGTGGGCTGACAACTACGGAGACTTGACTCATTCAGCCAGTAAACGGTGACGCAAGGCAGGCCAGGTTGAGGGAGTCAAGGGTTAGGGGCATCTTGTTCTGTTCTCCTGTTTCCACCCAAGCGATTATGGGTTTTTATCAACGTAATTGCTACATAGACCTCCGGAGAGGGCGATGGGCAGACTTGTAGGGCTCTTAACATATACAGGTGTTAGTGCTTAGAGGGAAAGAACAAGATAATTTTAGATCAACATTGCCATCATCTTCTCCAGCCTTTGTTTTGGCTCTGGTGCTTTGGTGATTTAGCACAGAAGTTGAAGGGATCCCACTAAATAACAAGTTGAAGGGATCCCACTAAATAACAAAAGCCCTAGCAGGTTATTTTTCTCCTCAAATCTGTCCAAGTGATGTCCTGTTGTGCTCAGAGTAAAAGTAAAGTCCTTACAATTGGACCGACCACGAGGCCTTATGAGATCTGTGGCAGTGGTCCCCTGACTCTAGACTCCTCCTACACTATGTTAGCCCTCTCTCACCAGCCTGATGGCCCTCACCCGCCTGCCACAACCAGTGGCCTCTTTGCTTTTCTGTGGACATGTCAAGCACAGTCTTACTCACTACTGCCCGGAACTTTCTTTCACATAACAACATGAGACACTCAAGATCTCTGTTCAAAAGTGAGATTCTACACCACATACGATTGCCCCTGTGTGCCATCTGACTCTCCTGCTTGTGGATCCTTTTCTCTCGCAGCACTGATTACCAGCTATTTCTTGTGCTGTGCACTTGCCTAATAGCTCTCCTAGATGGAAAATTCTACAATTCTACAAAGGCTGAGTTTTCATTACTGTAACATTTCTGATCCCCAAAGAGGGCTTGGCACTATTCATAGACAATGTATTAGAATGAAACAGTGCTATTCATGTTAATAAGGTGAGGAGAAGCTGGCCAATGGCACATAGCTGCCTGCAGGTGCAGTTCTAATTGCTTCACATGCATTAGAATCCTTAACTAATTCACTTCCTCTTAATTTAATCATGTCCAGGTAAGTTACTAAGGAGAACATGAGAGCAGCGGAACTACCAAAGCCCACTCTTTTCCAGTGATATCATCACTCTCTCTTAATGTAACTGGAGACCTGTAGTGTTTAGGAGAGCGCATGGTGAACATTCAACATTTTTTTTTTTTTGGTCAATTGTGGGCTTGAATTTAGGGGCCTAGGCGCTGTCTCTGAGTTTTCTGGCTCAAGGCTAGGGCTCTACCACTTTGAGCCACAGTGTCATTTCTGGTTTTCTGCTGGTTAATTGAAAATAAGAGTCTCACGTATTTTCCTGCTTGCGCTGGCCTTGAACCACAATCCTTAGATCTCAGCCTTCTGAGTAGCTAGGATTACAGGTGGGAGCCACTGGCACCCAGCCACATAATTTTTTTTTTATTAATGAGTGAGAGCTGGGTGCTGGTGGTTCATGAGGATCTTGAGGATCACAATTCAGAGCCAGCTTGGGCAAGAAAGTCTATGAGACTCTTATCTCCCATTAATCACCAAAAAGGTAGACGTAGAGCTGTGGCTCAAGTGGTAGAGCACCAGTTTTGAGCAGAAAAAAAGCTAAGAGAGAGTATCCTGGCCCCAAGTTCAAGCCCCAGCATGCACACACACACACACACACACACACACACACACACGCACGCACGCACACACACACGCACGCACACGCATGCACGCACGCACACAAAGAATAAGAGATGGCAGACATTTTGGAAGCCAAGAAGCCCTGTTCTTAGATCAGTAGCTGTGCAATAATTCTATTTTCAAAGAGCTTGGGAATTCTGTCTGAGCTAACCCTCTACATAGGTCTCTGAAGGGGTAGCCAGGGCCATGTTTGGGAGTGCTCAGCCTTGGGGAAACTTCTCCAATCACAGCAGGAGGCTGGGCAAGGATTCTGAAGAGAAATCTTCAGGGAAACTTCTATTGCAAGCCAAAGGTACAAAGGTTTTTTTATACACAGATAATCCATTATCTACCTACTTTTTCCACTCCAACAGCATCCATCCTGACTGATTTCACTGTACTCAAAATGTATGTGTGTATACATACATGTGCATGTGCATGGAGTGTTGGCCGGGGGATGTGTGAGTGGGTGTCAGCGTTGTGGAGGTGAGGATGAGTGGGCACAGGCAGTGGAGGGAGGGCTCTATGCAGCAGCAGCACTTCCGGTTATTCCCAATAGTTCTGCAGTGGCCTTGTCTGTCTTGATCTTGCCTGAATGCCCGTACATGCCAGTAATAATAGACTCTTCGGTCTAAACACTCAACCTCAACTTTTCATCAGAGCAATTGCTTGAAGCTGTGCTTTTGTGTAAGTGAACCACCTTACCAATGGCTCATGTAGATCCAGACCCTTTCCATTCTTCCCCAAATCCTATTCCTGGGTTTCACTAAGCAAAGAATTCAAACCTCCCACAATTCAGCAGTGGGGGCAGGTGAGCTGGCTTTGGATGGGTAAAGCTGCCAGGCACAAGGGCCTTCAAAACAGCTGCTGATCTGTGCCCACCAGTCAGTGGGAAAACCTTGTTAGGAATGTCCCAGCCTGGTCCTCCATAAAGAGTCTGGAGATAAGCCCTTCCTTTACTGGGATGTGCAGATGGAAATTCTTCCTCTCCCTCCCACATGTCACCCACGGTGGAGTCCTGACCTCCTCTCAGACCCTGATGTCAATTCCAGGAGTCTACACATACTCATTTTACTCTCATGAGCTTGTCCTTAAATCCCTTGACAGGTTTTCAGAGTGGTATCTGAAAACACGACACTTGATTAGCCATAGGTTTAAATTTCACCTCATTGTTGTCTGGAATCTAATCTCTTAAATAAATGTTTTCTTTACATGTTAAAGATGATCAAATTTATAATGGTAACTTACTAAGTGCACTGTGATAAAGAGTTTATGTTCGTTATACCTTTCCCTTTGCTTTCATTTTGCAGATGGGGAATGAAGGCGCAGGACAGGGTAGATAGATGTATCTAAGCTCACAGCTGGCAAAGCTGGGACTGGAGAAAGGGATCACCTCTCTCTCAGGCTACAGAGACCTTGTGCAACATCAGTGTCTCCAGTCACGACATAACTTGGCTTACAGCTCAGCGTAGTCTAGGTTTAGGAGTGTTTAGGTTCTTTCTCTAACAGCCACAGCTGTCTGCAAAATCTCACTTACAGCTAAATGGAGTGGACTTTTGGTAGCGCCGGAATCAGATTCTTCAAAACCAGTGTTGGTTCTTTCCAAAAGCTGTGGAGATAGAAAAAGAAAGTACAGTTGTAAATCCAATTTTGCAAAAGGAATTAAACTTTCTGGACACTAAATGAGAAAGGAGGCTTCAGAAACTTAAGAATTAGATAGCTCATCAGTAATATAAGAAATCACAGGGCTGGGAAGGTGGCTCAGTGGTAGAGTGCTTGCCTCACATGCATGAGGCTCTGGGTTCAATTTCTCAGCACCACATAAGCAGAAAAAGCCGGAAGTGGTGCTGTGGCTTAAGTGGCAGAGCACTAGCCTTGAGCTGAAGAGCTGAGGCCCAGAGTTCAGGCCCCATGACTGGCAAAAAAAAAAGAAAAGAAAAGAAAAAAAGAGAAATCACATACAGCTTATCTCAACCAAACATGCTTATTGAATATTTAAACTTCTAGATCATCTTGATACTTGCTCCTTTTTATGGTCAGTCATGGGGCCTGAACTCTGGGCCTGAGCATTGTCCTTCAGCTCTTCAGCTCAAGGCTAGCTCTCTATAACTTGAGCCACAACACCACTTCTGGCTTTTTCTGTTTATGTGGTGCTGAGGAATCGAACCCAGGGCCTCATACATTCAAGGCAAGCACTCTGCCACTGAGCCACCTTCCCAGCCCTGACACTTGCTATTTTTAAAATAGGGTGAGCTGGTAGCTCATGCCTGTAATCCTAGCTACTCAGGATGCTAAAATCTGAGGATCACAGTTCAAAACCAGTCCAATGAGAGTATTATATGCAGTTAACTACCAAAAAGCCAGAAGTGGAGCTATGGCTTAAGTGGTAGAGTGCCAACCTTGAGCAAAAAAAGGTCAGAAGGGAGCACCTTGGCCCTGAGCTCTAAGTATAAAGCCCATTTTTTAAAAGCTATATCTGTTTCTGTTTAAAATAGATAGCATAGTATCTGTTTCCTACAGATGAAGCCAGGATGATTCAAAGAGTGGTGTAGATTTTATAGAAGCTGTCCTAATAAGAATGATGAATGGGAATGGAAAATTACTCAAAACCCTGAAAAACAAAACTTCCTAAAATAGAATTCAGCCATTTTCTTCTTAAAAGTCTCTCCAAACTTATCAAGTGAACAATACTTTTTAAAGTCATATGTGCCAAGTGTCAGTGGCTCCCACCTTTTATTCTAGTTATTCAGAAGCCTGAGATCTGAGGATCAAGGTTCAAAGCTAACCTGAGCAGACAAAATCCAAGAGACTCTTATCTACAAATAATCAGCAAAAACCTGGAATTGGAGATGTGGTTCAAGTGGCAAAGAGCTAGCTATGAGTGGAAAGTAAAAACCAAAACCAAATGAAAGCATAAGGTCCTGAGTTTAAGCCCCAGTACCAGTACAGTCTCTCTCTCCCTCCCTCTCCCTCTCCCTCTCCCTCTCTCTCTCTCTCTCTCTCACACACACACACACACAGTCATGTATGGAATAACCCTATTTCAACACAAAAGCCTGTATTGACACAATGATACATGAACAGAAAGGCATAGAAATACTGTAACTCCTTTGTACATCACCTTTATAATCACAATAAAAAAGTAACTTAAAAAAGAAATACATACCCTAAAATATTTACCACAATAACCTAAAAGTTGAATTATAGGTTATTGTATTTCTAATTTAGAAAAAAGCTTTTAATCTTCTCTTTTTTTGAGAACAATACATTTTCTAAATGATATTTCATTTTACTGTAAAGGTGATGTACAGAGGGATTGCCATTAAGATAATGAGTACATTTCTTATCAAACAGTGATACCTCCTCCCCTCATTTTCTCCCACTTTTACTCCTCCCTGAGTTGTAAAGTTTATTTCCAATACAGTGTCTTGTGAGTATTACTGTAGCATTGGCTCACCTTTTGTCTTTTGTCTCACAATTTTGTTATTTTCCTTTCCTTCCCCAAATCAGAAAATTTACATACAAGGTAGAGGGTACCAAAATCATAAGAAATAACAACAAGGGATAAACCAAAGGAAAAAATATTATAGAAAAAAGAAATAACTTCACACAGTACATTTAAAAAAACCCTTGTTGGGGCTGGGAAGGTGGCTCAGTGGTAGAGCACTTGCCTTGCACGCTCGAGGCCCTGGGTTTGATTCCTCAGCACCACATAAGCAAAAAGAAAAAAGCCGGAAGTGGCGCTGTGGCTCAAGTGGTAGAGTGCTAGCCTTGAGCTGAAGATCTGAGGGACAGCGCCCAGACCCAGAGTTCAGGCCCCACGACTGGACCCAAAAAAAGAACAACAAAAAACCCTTGTTTCCATATCTTGTAGTTCATTTCGATTAGTATCATTTTATATGGTCATATGTATATAGCTATTGAGCGATTGTGATCCTCTGCTAGGACTATCCTAGACAGTACCACATAAACAGAAAAGGCCAGAAATGGTGCTGTCGCTCAAGTGGTAGAGTGCTAGCTTTGAGCAAAAGAAGATCAAGTGTTCTGGCCCTGAGTTCAAGCCCTATGACTGCCCCCCTAAATATATATATATATATATATATATATATATATATATATATATATATATATATATATATATATATATATATATATATATATATATATATATATATACACACACATACACACACATACACACACATACACACACATACACACACATATATATAGAGAGAGAGAGAGAGAGAGAGAAAGATCAAAAGATTAAACCTCCCAATTACAAATCTTCAAAGAAACAGCCACCCCATTAATAAGTGGGCAAGTGGGTTAAAGAATTAAAAAGAGAAGAAATAAGAATGGCCAATAGACACATAAAGAAGTGTGCAACATCTCTGGCCATAAAAGAAATGCAAATCAAAACTACATTGAGATTCTACCTCACTCCAGTTAGAATGGTCATTATCAAGAAAACAAATAATCTCTTTAATCTATTAAATGACATCTATTGGTCCTCACAGGTACAGAATTCATCTCCAGCCCATTCATGTGGAACCAAATGCTATGGTGTTAGGAGACTCTGGTAAATCAATTGACAGTACAAAAATTAATAGCCACAACTTGTAAATAATGGCACTGTAAGTATGAAATGTCTTATGCTTGATCATTATTAGTAGTCGAATTTGGAACTTAAGCCATCTAGGAAATGTTATAATAATGAAAGCAAATTCAATTTTAACTTCAAAGTCACTAACTTTAAAATCCATGGCTTACCTAGTTGATGTACAATGCTTGCTAAGGCTAGTGAACATCTGTGCTTTGCTTTGTTTTGCAGCATTGTCACCACGAGACTTCCTGGAATTGAGCGTGTACCAATTCCAAATCCTGTCCTGGAATGAACTTTTAATCAGGGGAACACAGAATCATGTTCCCACTATCACAAACACAATGAGCAGGGCAAGAGGGCAATGTACTGTGAATTGACACAAGTTAGGCACGTTCCTATAATGTTTGTTATGGAATAAAATTTTTTCTACACACACAGTTCAGTTATTCTATCAGCATGGAATGTTGATTTCGCAAAATCTTCTGTCACCTAAGAGCAGGACCCTGAGTTGGGCACCAGAACTCAGTTGTGTCACTGACACGATAGTGCTCAGAGGCTAGCAGGGAGCCCGTACAAGTTAATAGATCATTAGAGCAATGAGGCAGGACCTGGGATAGGAAGGGCAAGATGCCATAGAAGCATGCCACGGGGGCCTGGCACTGACACCAGGTAGCAAACAAGGGTCAGAGAAATCTCCTTTCCTCTGTCAAGTACTATCTAACCTGAAACCTGGATGGCAGGCATCATCAGGCAAAGAGAAAGTAATAATACTTCAGGCAAGAGGAAGAGCACATGAGCATAACAAATCTGAAAAACATTAGTAAGTTTAATAAGACTAGAGTAAGGTATGAGGAGCAATGAAGCTAGAAATGTAAGCGGAATGTACACTAGGCATAGAATGACCATGAATCTATGATGTTTTTGAGGGCTATCTTAGATAAGAGCTGTTCACCTGGGTATCAAAGCAGGGCAGCTAGTCAGTCATTGTTGTGACTGAAGCAAGGAAGAGGCATAATGATGATCCTTGGACTTTATAAATACATCATTCTATACAGTCACTGAATGCAATATACATATGTGAAAATGGAACTGTGTAATGAGGATATGGGTGGGGTTGGGAAAGATAAGGGAGGATAGAAGGAGTGACATCGATCAAGATGCATTGTACTTATAAGTTGAGTTGAAACTCCTTTGAACAACTACTTAAAGACAATTTTTAAAAAGCTAAAGAAATAAATATACCATTCTGGTTGCAATGTGAATTGGGCGTGGGGACTGTGACTCTAGAAGAAGGGAAAACAGGGTATTTCAACCATGGGATTTCTTTTTCTTCTTTTTCTTTTTTTTGGGCTGGTTCATGGGGCCTGAACTCTGGGCCTGGGCGCTGTCCCTCAGTTCTTCAGCTCAAGGCTAGTGCTCTACCACTTGAGCCACAGCGCCACTTCTGGCTTTTTTCTTTTCGCTTATGTGGTGCTGAGGAATCAAACCCAGGGCCTCAGGCATGCAAGGCAAGCGCTCTACCACTGAGCCACCTCCCCAGCCCAACCATGGGATTTCTAAATCATGAATTCATAAGTCAGTGAAAAACTGATGGTGGCTAGAACTGCAGAAGATGCAAAGGAAAGGAAGAAAGTGGGTATATTCAAGAATTCCATTCAATCTTTTACTAATTCATTCAATCATTATTTTTTAAGCATTGTACTAGTCCCTGAGATTACAGCAGTAATATGGTTGCAATCTATAAAGTGAACTGTACATAAACCATTGGTTAACCATTGGAGAATGGTGGGGGAAGATTACAGTCAGGGACGACATGAGGTTTTCTAGCTTTGGTAATAACACAGCAGATGGTCACACTTTCCTAAGGAAATGCAACAAGAAGAACAAAGGCCAGGGGAAGGAAAGTGCATTGAATTTTGGTCTGGGACCCTCAAGGAGAGATGTCTGGTGCACAGGTGCTAACTGAAAGGGAGATTCAGGTTAAATTAAGGATTTGGAGATAA